CCCCCGCCGCCAGCAATGCCCGCCGCTGGCCCTTGATGATTGACCCTCAGGGACAGGCCAACAAGTGGGTGAAGAACATGGAGAAGGCCAACAATGTCCACGTCATCAAGCTCAGCGATGCAGACTTTGTCCGCACCCTGGAGAACTGTATCCAGTTTGGCACCCCGGTCAGTACCCTGATCATGCGCCTCATCATCATCATCATCATCACCTTCATCATCAGCATCATCATCAGCATCATCATCAGCATCATCATCAGCATCATCCTCATCGTTATTCTCTTAATCATCGTTATCACCATCATTATTGTAGATTGCAACAACAACAAAAAATTGTGGAGACTGTAGAATTTCCAAAATTTTATACGTTCAACGTTTCACCATCTTAGGGCTTCATCAGGAATACTTTAAAAAATACTAGATAGTTGGCGGGCACACAGATGAGGTCTGCTCCTTCTACTTAATTTCAGTGGAAATATTGTCATTATTTATTCCTGAAGGGATATAGCTGAGCCTTATAAAGAATTGGTCGCACAGTATCTCATTACAAACAAGTAAGCACTTGCTTCTAATGAAGATAGTGCCACAGCTGAATTTTATTCTCACCTGTTTGTTTAACAACTTGAAGTCTAGATGGAGAAAAATGAAGAAAAAATATGGCAAAGTAAAGAAATAAGATCAAATTTTAATAATTGCTCGCTTTTAAGGACAAGCGGACTAACCCAGATTTCGGGGATTTCCAGCAATCTTGATCTACACCAAAAGTGGGCATTGCCCTACATATAGGAGAAGTTATGTTTCATTGGTGTGTATATTTGTTTGGTTACAGAGAAAATCTCCTTGTCTTTAAAAGAAACTGAACAAGGGTCCAAAAACCTAAACTTCGATTTTCTCAGAACATCATTTTTCGGGATAGCCCCCTTGTGCTTAAAAGCGACCAATTATTACTCTTCAAAATGGTTTAACTGAAACTTCATAGTGAGACATTTCAAACTCAATTCTCCTAATCGCTCAGGTTTTGCTGGAGAATATCCAGGAAGAGCTTGACCCCATTCTGGAGTCTCTGCTGCTGAAGCAGACTTTCAAGCAGGGTGGCAGCATCTGCATCAAGCTGGGTGACAGCACCATCGAGTACTCCCACGACTTCAAGTTCTACATCACCACCAAACTGAGGAACCCCCACTATCTCCCCGAGACAGCCGTGAAGGTGAGCAATGAGAGCGAGACATAATAATAATAATAAATAGCATTTGTATTGCACATATCCCCGCTCAACAGCAAGCTCTATGCGCTTTACACTATATTATTATTCCAGCAGACCATAGAACACTCAAAAACATCCTCAGCTTTTCGGGAAGCACACAGTGTAAGCGTCTGATTATGCGCAACACTAACAAACTGACAGGATGTTTCACTGTCTATAGCTGGGTAACCATTCCCACCTGGGTGAAGTGAGGGAAATTCGTGTAAAGTGCCTTTCTCAAGGACACAACGTTGTTCCCCTGACGGGATTCGAACCCATGACCTTATGGTTGCAAGTCTAATAGCCTAACTACTAGACAACTGACGCCCCTAAACTATGTAGACTATGATTTGTGGCTACCTCAGAATTACAACGTTCTATCTGCTCTATCTTTTGAGAAATTTGACGTCAAAGATTTTGAGTTTCACTTCACGTCAAGCTTTTACGAATGCAATTCTTTGAACATCTTGATAATGACTTCAAATGATTTTACGATTTTGATAGAGCAGACAGAATATATGGTCTCTGACCTCATTCTTTTCTTTGTATATTATTACCAAGTAACACTTCTAATATTCGGCACTTATGTGACCTAATTGTCTTGAAAGCTCTGTAAAATTAAATGAATGAAACAAATAAATTACATTTTGCTGATCTCCATAGGGAAATGTTGGTTACAATGGCAAACATACATACACACATACATAATTAGAAATACATAGATACATACATAAATACACAACATCACACCAGTACAGAACAATTTTCACCAACATACCATTGCTGGTCGCTACTGTGCAGCACTCTGTTTTTTTAGGTAGGGTTGTCTTGTCTTGCTCAAGGACACAGCCCAGTGACCACCCATGTAAACCCCATGTCACCGACACTTGCTTGACATTATTTGTTTAATTCTTAGTTGTAGTATGTTCACAAGTGCTGATGTGTTTTGTTTTTTACTGCCATCCTTACTTGTATATAATTAAGGCTAAGAAAGCTCCTATTTATGCGGTTTAGCTGGTTTTCTTGTTGCTGTGAAATATTTTATCTTGTGTGAATGAAGTATTCCGCTCAGTGATCATTTGATCGATGTAAAGGGCTCAGAGCTTATACTCATTTGGGATACAGTGCTATATCAATGCTATTATTACCTAGTATTATTATTATTATTACTTTTGAGTCTGAACTCACTACTCACCCTATCATTATCATCATCCAGTGCCAGATCTGCGACAGACATTGGCGATCATGGTTTTCCATTCATTCTTTTGCTTGGATGCTCTTAGAAAAGCTATGTTTTCCTGATCTTTCCCTGTTACCCATTTGTTTAAATTCCCTAAGTAGGTTGCTCTGGGCCTGTTCCTGCCTCGTTTCCTGATTGTTTTTAACAGTGAGCGTCCCACGTGGGCTTCATCAAGCACTACCTCATTTGATTTCTTTTCCTTCCATGATACTCACCCTATACAAAAACCCCAAACGTTTCATCACCCATGTGATCCCCGTGTCACCGGCACTTGCTGGACATTACTTTTGAGTCTGAACTCACAACTCTCCCTTTACAAAATCTCAAAACATTCCCACCCATCCAGGTGACTCTGCTCAACTTCATGATCACCCCCGAGGGCCTGGAGGATCAGCTGCTGGGTATCGTGGTGGCCAAGGAGAGGCCGGAGTTGGAGGAGGAGAAAAACCAGCTGATCTTGCAGAGTGCCGCCAACAAAAAGTGGGTTGTGTTGAGAAAAAAAAAGAAAGAAAGAAAGAATACTAATACCGTAATGCCATTCTCTCTGTCTCTCTGTCTCTCTGTCTCTCAACCTCTCTGTCTCTCTACCTCTCTTTTTCTCTGTCTCTCTCTCTATCTCTCTCTCTCTCTCTCTCTCTCCTGTCTCTCTGTCTGTCTTTCTTTCTATCTTTCTCTCTCTGTCTCTCTTTCTCTCTCTCTCTCTCTCTTTCTCCTGGGCGAGAGCCCAGCTGTTGCTGGATCGATAACAACAACTCTCTTTCTTTCTGTGTCTCTGTCTCTCTTTGTCTCTATCTTTCTTTCTTTGTCTTTCTATCAATCTTTCTGTGTGTCTCTTCACCCATCTCTCTCTCCATCTCTCTTTTATCTCTCTCTTTCTCTCTCCCTACCTTGCTACCTCTTTCCCTCCCTCTCCTCCTTTGATATCTCTGTCTCTCCCTCCCTGCTTTTCATTATCAACCTCAGTTCTAGTTATAGCCATATCAACAATCTGCCATTCAAAGGTAATTCACCTTTTGTTATTTGTTATCTAACTTCCTTTCATGATCAGATAGCCTACTATCTCCTATCACTTTTCAAAATTCTACGTAAATGTCTTTTACGTATCTATGTATTTTTTGTTGCTTTGGGCATAAAAAAAAAGAAGTTTTAAAAATATTTTTAATGCTTGTGTATTTTTTTCTGATAGACAACTGAAGGAGATTGAGGACAAGATTCTAGAGGTACTTTCTTCTTCCGAGGGAAACATTCTGGAAGATGAGACAGCCATCAAAGTGCTGTCCTCCTCAAAGAAACTCTCCAACGAGATCTCGGAGAAACAGGTTTGTTTGGCCTATTGCTGACCTCGTAGTTTTTGTTTCCTCTGAGTTACATTCAAAACTTCAGGTGTTTGGCCTGAACTCTGCTAATTGTCTGTCTGCATATTGTGTGTCTGCTAATTGTCTGTCTGCTGTACCTCAAAGAGGGGGCACATCGCTATTACCTCTACCGCAACCGACCTTGCCTCTGTTTATTACATATGTGGCCAATTTTTAAAAATAAAATGCAGTTTTTCACCTTCCTAGTAGCCTTAAGTCATTTTTATTTTAAGGGGGGGGGGGGGGGGGTAGACCTACTCATAATTATTTGTATTTATGAGAGTTTTTTCCTTTTGGGATAGTGACAAGTTTACTATATTTCATTTCACTGGCCTGAGCAAATGTGAGGCAGCGTAGTGAAATCAGGCGCTCATCAAAATAATGAAAGTCAAGAAACTGTTTTTTTTTCCTCAGGTTTGGGAATTTTGTCGATTTTTCTTTTTTAGCTCAACACATATCTGTGTGGATTTTACTGAAAAACATTGACTTAAGGCATTAAAGATGTAAATTTTCAGTTTCCACAGACTGTCAAGCTAAGGAAATAACTCAACTTTGGCGGCCATTTTCTCGCTAATCTTACCTCTGAAATCAGGCGACACCCATGTGCACTTCCTTCAATCACCAATATCTTGACTAATTATATCCAAGATAAATGGGTATTTTTTTCATCAAAAGCACGGCAAATCGACAGGCTTTGGGATGAGACCATAGGAATAACTCCATAAGGCCCTAAATTGACGAGCGCCTGATTCCACCGTGTCATGACACAAATGTGTTTTTCTTTTAGTTTAAATTATCACATCTTAAGTGTACACAATATAGACACTGGACTTCCTGTCTTTTCTCCTATATGAGAGAATTGTGTAAATACCTGAGATCAGGGTTGCTGAAAACACGAGAAAACCTTCATTTTTCTGAGGACTGTGCTTGCAAACACCCAGGAATAGCACAAGGTACTTTAACTTGAGAGAGGAGCATCTTTTTTATCGTCTGATGGACTTCTTTTTAGATTCTCCTTTCTTATACAGCCAAAATTGTTCAAGACTGCTACCCACTGTCAGGGAGAGAAGGAGTTGTCGTAGATAGGTGGGCGTCATTGACAGTGTCATTAAAATGTAGAAAAAAATGCGAGTGGGAAGTGGAAAATGGTCATTTGTTTAGGTAATTGCCTTGGATAGGTGACAGTTTGAGCCAGTTTTACTGTACCCGAGTCTCTGAATCCAAATTTCGTGTATATTTTGTGCCGTAGATTTCCCCCTTGTTGCAGTAGGGACTCTAAATTCAAATTCTTTTTTTATCATTGGCCTTTTGTTAAAGTCTACTTGGCCCAAAATTTTGTGTTTTTTTTAATCACAGGGTTTTTTTTTATTCCGAGGTTTCGGTTGCAACCTACCCGAAAAATATTTTGTCAAAATTCCAATTCTTAATGTGGAGAAAAGCAAGAAAAAAAAATCGTAATGTAGGTACAATTGTTAAAAGAATGAAACACTTTTTTCCTCTTTCGCGTAAAATTTTTCTTAACGCTTTCCTACCACACAGCGCGCAGAGCGCACAACACTTATCCCCACGGACCAGGATACAGGTGCGGTACACGCTATACCACACCGGCGCTGATCGGCGTCCCATGGGGAAAGGGGCAGCTTCTTACTGTCGATCAGCGTCCCGTGGGGACAAAGTGTTAATGCATTTTAACAACTTGTCAGCCTTATGTTCTTTGAAATAGGAATGACATTGTTATGCCAGCTCCCATTGAAACTTCAACTTTCTTACACTTCCAAAGGCCATCGCTGAGGAGACAGAGAAAAAGATCGACACAGCTCGTCTTGGCTACAAGCCCATCGCCATTCACAGCACCATCCTGTTCTTCTCCATCGCCGACTTGGCCAACATTGAGCCCATGTACCAGTACTCACTCTCCTGGTTCATCAACCTCTTCATCTTGTCCATCGAGAACGCTGAGCGGTCAGAGGACTTGGAGAAGAGACTGCAGAACTTGCATGACCACTTCACATACTCACTTTACTGCAACGTGTGTCGGTCACTCTTTGAGAAGGACAAGGTAAGTCGATTTGTTCTGGCAGGCTCCCATGAGCTTTTTCCCTTCCACACACTGATAGATAAACGTCTTCAACGTTGTGGGGGGTTTTGTTTTAGTAAGTGTTTTACAGCGTTTTCTGCAAATAAAGTCGTATAAATGCTGAATATTAGAAGTGTACAAAAGGGTAACAAACACAAAAAAGATGGAGGAGTAGAGATAAAGACCAGAGCACCTGCCAACCACCCATTTTTGTTGACAACTAGTGTGTTACATTAAGAGTTATGTTAGAATTTTTTCTATTTTGTTCTAGTGTGATTTACAAAGTATGAAGTAAGTAATTTAATTTGTAAATATATCATTATCTGAATAGATGTGTTCTTGTAAGAATAATTAAGTAAGTGATAAATAGCAGCCAGTTATGTAAGATTATGTAAATCATGGACTGTAAAATAATTATGATTGCATTTACCTAGAGCATATCAGAACTCTACAGCATGGACTGTGCGCTTTAAAACTATTATTACCCAAAAAGACTCTAGAACACCAAGAAACATTCTCAATTTCTTAGGAAGCATACAGTGCATGCAGCTGATTAAGCGCTAAAACTCTATCAAACTGACAAGATTTTTTGCCGTGTCTAGCCAGGTACCCATTCCCACCTGGGCGGAGGGAGGAAAATTTGTGGGAAGTGCCTTTCCTGAAGCCACTATTTCAGGCCACTGACAGACTATGAACGCATGACCTTTTAATTAGGAGGCCTGACAGCCTAACTTTCAGACCCTTGTCACCCACCACAATTTGACCTTTGACCCCTGCCCGTCCACAGCTGCTGTTCTCCTTCCTGCTGTGCGTCAACATCCAGAAGCACAGTAAGGAGGTGGATGAGGAGGAGTGGCGCTTCCTGCTGACCGGAGGCATTGGCCTGGACAACCCGCACTCCAACCCCACCACCTGGTTGCCCTCCAAGTCCTGGGACGAGCTCTGCCGCCTGGACGAGATGGCCAACTTCAAGGACATCCGTAAGAAACTCATGACCCAGAAAGACCAGTGGAAGGTTCTCTACGACAGTATGGTGAGTAGCTCAAACCTTTCCATGTGACAATCAATGATTAATTTATAGAGGCACCAGCCGTCCATGTCCAGGTGCTGTTTTAGCCACCTTTCCATGTGCTGAATGTGGGTGCTTATTTGTCAAAGCAGATGGGGGCCGCTGAGGGCAACTCAATACCTGGGGTCCTTCTTGTTGACTTGTTAACTTTCAGTGATTTTTAAAAATTCTGTGTCGCTGTTTTTTTACCCCACCCCCCACCAACACACTTTAGTTCATTTAAGAGGTGGGCTTTGACCCTGCCTGTCAGGGCTAATCTGAGCTGAGAAGTATAGGCCATCCCACTCCCCCCACTCGGGAATCGAACTGGGGTTTCCTGTGTGTGAAAGCGAAGTGCCCAACCACTGCACTACAGATGCTGGGGTCCTTCAGTGATGAAAAATAAAGTCTCATGATTCCTCATGTGATGTTGATGTTGGACTTTTGTTCCACAAAATGCAACCTTAAAGGTAGGATGAGTGCTGGTGGATGTTAATCTTAGCCTGTCCTTGTAAAGATTTTTGTAGCAGTAAGTGAGATTTTGAAAACAATACAATAATTGAATTGGTAAAGTTCATTGTTTTAGTTTTAGCAAATGAAATGCTGCTGGTAATGGTGTATACACACGTCCAATCTGGAAATGTGGAGGGCTGAACAGTAGGCCTATTCAATCTAGGTACTGTAAGCCTGCTATGAAACACTCTATGTTACAAATTTTGTGTTATAATTTTTCACAGGAACCGCACCACGAGAAATTGCCAGGTGACTGGAACGATCGACTTGGCAGCTTCCAGCGGCTACTGGTCTTACGTTGCTTCAGACCCGACAAGGTTAGTCCAGCACCTAATGGGTTGGGGTGGGGTTTTTGTTTTTTTTTAGTTTGTTGGGTTTTTTGGTTGTTCTTTGATAGAGGGGGTTAAAAAAAACATGCATAGATATATATTCATTGTAGCCATAAAATGCTGATAAATATTATATTATACAAATGTCATAAACGTAATTATTTTTCACAATCTAGCGAGCTTACCAATGTGCTGCATAATATTCAAAATATTTGGAGGATATAGCAGGATTATCAAAATATTATGTATGTTCCCAATATTTGGAAGATCTGTGATAACGTGTTTTGGCTGTTTATGTGCATGGTGTTTTGTATTTTTTGTTTTGTGACAGAGTGTCTAAACATTGCCCAAGGATTGTTGTGTTATGTCTATGTGAGCGTGGCTTCGTCTCTGAAAGGAGAAAGTCAGCTTTATTATAAAAAATACTGTCTGAACATATCAACTATTGAACAATTCATGAATCTGTTGTAATTACAATAAAGATAATAAAAATAGCAATAGTATGTCTTTAGTTTCTTACATTGAAAATCAAGCAAAAGACATGTTCTAAAGCCTGGTTACATTCCTTATAATTGTTTGTGGAGATTAGCCAGTTCAAAATCTTTGGAAAAGTGACCTGAAACAATATTGATGTTCTCTCATGCTTTAACCTGGGAATGTTATCAAGTTTGATGCTGTAGCATTTATTCCAGAAGCACTCAGGTGTTGTGTTTGTTTATATACTTATTCTTCCCTGTTGTTTTGCTCTAGCCTGTTCAAAGACACTTGCTCTTTCCACGTTTAAGCATTAGGATTGCAGAAATACCTTGAGGCTCCTCAGTAGAGCAGAGAACTTTTTTAATGTGGTTTGAAAGCTCTTTAGATGTTAATCTAGAAAAGGGGAAAGAACTGAGCGCACTGTGGCGACTTTTTCTTCTTCTTAGCTTTTCCCGTAGTTGGACATTGCTTCTCAGACTTCTCTGCAGTAAAACACTCCTACGGCTGCCACTCTGCCTGTTTGAGTTGTTTTGGTTCTTAGTCGGGTCTCTATATCCTGCTCCCATCTTCTGTTAGGTCTCCCCCTTCTTTTTTTTTTTGTTGTCTTCTACCTTTGCTTCCAGATTATGTTAATCTAGAATGAATCAGTTTTTGATATGCCCTGAGTAGTTGTTTACAATTTCATTATGTTCCGGGAGGAGTACTGGCGGTATAATAATATTCTATGTCTAGTCTTCTATGTTCTTCTTCATTCTTTCTTTTCTGTCTCTACAGTGTCGTAAGAGTTGTTCTATAACATTTAATTTCAAAAGCTGTAATCCTGTTTGTATCTCGTTCATTAATGGTCCATGCTTCATGTCCATATATTGCGATGGGGAATAGGGCACCCTGTCAAGCAGTGCTAATTCTGACCAATGTATGTATACCCTCAGGTCATTCCTGCTCTACAAGAGTTTGTCTCAGAGAAGATTGGCAAGAAGTTCATTGAGCCGCCACCCTTTGACCTGCCAAAGGCATTTGGAGACAGCAACTGTACTGCCCCCTTGCTGTTTATTCTCTCCCCTGGCGCTGATCCGATGGCTGCCTTGCTGAAGTTTGCAGATGACCAGGTCAGTGTATAGCGAAGAATCATTTTCTGTTTCCTACCTGCCTTAAAATATATATTAATTAGACTTGTATTGTGGAATACAAACAAATGAGATCTAAGTTAGATTTTATTCTTTTTTAGGGGGTAAGCTGATGCAAAACAAACGCAGCTAAATAAATGAAATGTTTTGTTTCATTCGCGCAAAAAATGTTATATTTGCATAAATAACAGGCAAGTCGTAAAATATAGATAATGTAACGTCTTTGAGCTTCAAATAGGCATGTTTAAAAAACTCAGGCACACACACACACACACACACACACACACACACACACACACACACTTCTGCACACACACAAGTCCCTACCCTCTGATTGATGAAAATTGTTTACAATTCTCATAGAAGATTTTTCTCTTTTTTTTTTTTTTACAGCAAACTTATTTCATATTGTAGACATTTCTAAATATGGGGGGTCAAATTATTCATTTAAGAATCAGCATTTACAAAACTAGGTTTTTACAAGAAGGAAAAATAATTATATGCCTTGAGGCTACTGCATTAATTGCAAGACCACTTTTTTGCAAGATCTCTTTATCTATGTTAGTTCTTATATATCTTATCGTCCACTATCGTTTACGTACTGGCTCATTAGTTTTATAAAAATGCATTCAATGTTTGCACGTTTCTCTTTCTCTTTTTTCATTAGGGCTTTGGTGGCGGCAAGTTCGACTCGCTCTCCCTTGGCCAAGGTCAAGGTCCCATTGCCCTGAAGATGATGGAGAAAGGTATCAAAGAGGGCACGTGGGTCATGCTGCAGAACTGCCATCTGGCTTCTTCCTGGATGTCAACATTGGAGAAGATCTGTGAGGTAGGTCATTGTGTTTGACAAAGGTCATTGTGTGAGAGATAAGTCACTGTGTGAGAGACAGGTCACTGTGTGAGAAGTAGGTTATTGTGTGAGGGGTAAGTCATTGGGTGAGAAGTAGGTCACTGTGTGAGAAGTAGGTCACAGTGTGTGAAAAGTAGGTCATTGTGTGGGAAATAGCTCATTTTGTGAGTTTCTGGTCATTGTGTGAGGGGCAGGTCATTGGGTGAGAAGTAGGTCATTGTGAGGGAAATAGGTCACTTTGTGAGAAGTTGGTCACTTTGTGGGAGATAGGTCTTTGTGTGAGAAGTAGGTCATTGTGTGGGAAGTAGCTCATTGTATGCGTTTCAAGTCATTGTGTGAGAGGCTGGGAGATAGGTCATTGTGTGGGAAGTAGGTCACTGTGTGAGAAGTATGTCATTGTGGGGGAAATAGGTCATTGCGTGAGAAGTAGGTCACTGTGTGGGAAGTAGGTCATTGTTTGGGAAATAGGTCATTGTGTGAGAAGTAGGTCAGTGTGTGGGAGATGGGTCATTGTGTGAGAGATAGGTCATTGTGTGAGAGATAGGTCATTGTATGAGAAGTAGGTCACTGTGAGAGAAGACTGTTGGAGAAATAGGTCAATGTGTGAGAGATGGGTCACTGTGTGGGAAGAAGGTATGCGCCTGTCAATTTCTCTATGTGCATATTAAAATTTGTGTATGTGTAGCTACAGAGTTTTGTTATGTATCTGTGTGTGTGTCTGTTTATGTACGTGTGTCTACAAGTTTTTGTTGTGTATATTTTTTTCAGTTTGTGTGTGTGTGTGTAAGTTTGCATGTATGTCTTTGTTGGTCTACATATGGTGTCATTTGGTTATATTCTCAATTCCTTACCTCCTGCTTCAATGTTTCTGTAAGCGTTTCTGATGAGGCTCAGGTCAAAGATGGGTTTATTGAGAAAGTGAGTGATTGATGGGTGCTCTGATGTGGTTTACGCCTCCTTTCCTGTCCAATATCTATCACTCTTATCTCGACTCCTCCTTTTCTTTGTATGTTACTCTCTAGTAACACCTCTAATCTTTAGCTCTTATGTGACCTCTTTGTGTTGTGCAAGTGCCGTAAAGTTCCTCATAGTGGGTGGTTGGCGGGTGCTCTGGTGTAGTTTGCTCCTTCTTTCGTATCGAATATCTATCGTCCTTATCTCTCCTTCTTTTTGGTGTTTGTTACCATCTTGTTAACACACTTGTAATCTTCTACGCTTATATGACCTTATTGTGCTGCAAGTGCCGTAAAACTCTTACTACATCGAAACTCCTCATACTAAAACTGAAACTTACGTTAAGAACATTGGCGTGTGTCTTTGTACAGGAATTCAACCCAGAGTCCACGCACCCTGACTTCCGGCTGTGGCTGACCTCCTACCCCTCCGACACCTTCCCGGTGTCCATCCTACAGAATGGGGTCAAGATGACCAATGAGCCACCCAGTGGGCTACGCTTCAACATCATCAAATCCTACATGAGTGACCCCATCTCCGATATGGAATTCTTCAACGGTTGCAAGCAGGCTGTCAGTATTCGTATCTTTGTGTGTGTGTCCATAGTGCGTGTGTTTGTATGTGGTGTGTGTTTGTTTGTGTGTGTGTGCATGGTGTATGTTTGTGTGTGTGGAGTGTGTGTGCGTGTGTATGTGTGCTTGTGTGTGTGGGTGAGGGAGGAAGAGAGATAGAAAAAGAGAGAGAGAGAGAGAGTGTCGTTTCAATCTCGTGAAGATAATGATATGCCTCGTAGGCATGGTTCCTATCCTCAGGTGACTGTTCGGTTGAATCTCTGTTTTCTATCTCTCTTCATTTGTGACCCCTTCAACTACCCCATCTGTGTGTGTTTGAACCATCACCATCTGTTTTTTCATCTTGTAGTTCCCATTTTTTTTTTCCTATCTCCGTGTTTCATGCTTCCTGCTTATCACGCTCTTGATGTTATGGTTTCATCTTGTAATTTCTCCTATCCACACCATCACAGGAGACCACCCATCACCTATGACTTCATCTTCATCATCATCATCATCATCATCATCATCACATCATCATCATCATCATCATCATCATCATCATCATCACCATCACCATCATCATCATCTGCTCCTCCTCCTCCTCCTCCTCCTCCTGCTC